GAGATCTACCTGTGGATTCCGTCTTTTTAATTCGTACTCCAACTTGGTTATTCTTCCACGATTCGTTTTTCGGTGTTCTTGCTCTCTCAGTGGTTGGGAGTGGTTCCACGAGTGGACGTCTTGCCACGGATCTTTTCTTTCGTCGACCAAGTAGCCACTCGACCTGTTTGTATTGGGCCCCCGAGGTGGGCCTCTCTGGTCGTCTTCACGTTCGACGAGGACCCTCGAGTTGCGCGGTTCCCCGACCGAAAACAGGTAACTCCACGTGGAGCAGAATGCGTCTCGAGTAGGAAGTAGTTATTGTTCGATGATCGCCAACAACATCGTTGCTTTTTACCGATCACGTGTGAACGCATCCACGCGCAAAAGTGAAAGGTAAACGGCTGGTAATTAGAACTGTGTGGATCCATCTGGCGCCAATGGTTTCGTTAATGGTTCGGTGTTCACAGGGAACAATAACATTCTGAACGCTCTTTTCACGTGGTGAATACATTTTTGATGAAACAGATTGCGATTGGTTACGGAAAGTATTCTAGGACACATTACCGAGGATCAACTTTTAGAAGTTAGGTTTTGTTAGTTCAACGGGTTAGTTCAATCCCAGAAGCGAACTTATCTTTGTTAATAGACGCTTAGAAAATTAATATAATACTAATAGATTATACCCAGGGTGTTTCGTTTAAGTGGGAACCCCCAAATATCTTTTTTAATTATGAAAAAGCAAAAAATATTTTGTATGCAATTTGAATGGTATTAACGTGGTCAGAATTCCTGCAGGCATTGGTTTTTTCTCGAAGTTTTCGAGGTCACCGATGTTTTTTTTTCTTCATATAACTGCATAATTCATTGGGCCATATCATAGTGCATATCTGTGTTTATTTTTTCAAGTGCTTCGCGATGCAATAGGAAAAAAATATATGTGAGAAGAAAGTAACATTTGTAAAACAACACCGCCTGCGGGATACTGACCACTTAATACCATTCAAATTGCAAATTTTGTAGGTGGAGACGTAGAATACATATGAAGGTCAACTATATTTTTTTTAAATGGAAGTATATATTTTTTAATGCATCGATCGATTATTCACCGTCATAAAGTTTACATTCACAAGTTTACGTCCATAGACGTCGCGTGTAATATTAAAATTAAAATATTTCCTAAATTACTGGTTTCTCGACGTAAATAGATTAATAACTTTTTACAAGGAATGACGAAGTGCATCGATCGATGCATCCAGAAAAATATGATTCCATTAAAAAAAATAAAGATGACCTTCATACATCCTCTACGCCTGTGCCCACAAAAAAACCATTGACATCAAATTATGTCCCCCTCGATACCACTCAACTTTTGTTTCAAACACTTTCCGGTATTTCAAATAATTTCAGAGATATTCGAGGGGATCGATTTAAATGGGACATCCTGTATATCAGTCTCACAGATTTCAAATAACGATTTAAGGGTCTGGCCTTTAAAGGGTTAAGTCTCAAAGGACCAGACATCTTCATTCAAGGGTTAAAAACGGTCCCCCGTATACAATGAATTTATGGGCACACCTGACAGTATTTGCGACATTACAGAATATCTTCGTGGGTGCACAAAGATCGATCGATCATATCTCCGGAGCTCATCGTCGCCAGCCCCCCCCCCCCCCCCCCACGTATTCGAAATAACGCGGCAACGATTGATCGTCGGATGGACGTATGTGGAGCACATTTCTCCTCTTAAGCTCGATAAAGGTCCAATCGGACCGGCGCACACGATGCGACTCATTTCGATTCTCTGCGCCTTTTGTCCGGTTTGTCAGGTGCACAATGGGGGCCCAAGAAATAGGGAAAAAAGTCAATGTGCAATTTTTGTCGCTCAAAATGCCGAATATTATGAAACTACTTTATGATAAAAAGTATTAGAGTGGATTCTTACTATATTGTGAAGAATTATCCAGAGGAAAATTTCATTTTTGTTGACCCCTCCAAATGGGAATACCTCCTTAACCAACCAATTATCAAATATTTACAGTGGCTACTGTGTGTCCCTACTGAAATTCGTAATAAACTGGCCTCCAAGGTAGTGGTTCCGTGACAAAGACGTGGGAACATTTTACGCCGTGACCGTAAAAAGGTCAATAAAAGTGTGGGGGATGAGGGCATGCTTTTCACGGACAGGATGGGAAAACTTGGACGGAAACCGCCGCCTTAAAATAGCCCCTTTTAGCTGTGTAGACCACATTGGCGAGAAACATAGAGGGACACTGGAGGTCGACCACGGAAGTGTTCCGAACACCACGCTATTTCAGTATCTACCGGAAGTTCCGTGAGAGAAAAGGTTTATTTTTAATCCCCTCGCCGCGACGACGACGGAACATTGTTCACCTTCGCCTCGGCTTGGATCGATTGCGATCGATGGACTCGAACGAAAATTATATTTTAAATACAATACCTGTTTAATGGACGAAACTTCGCTGAAGGGATAATTAACCCTTTGCTGTATATTTTTGGCACAAGTGGGTAGTCTACTCCAGGAATTTTTTAGGTGATACAGTGAATCCTCGATGAGTGTTCGAAGGCTCCTCTGGCACTGAACATTAAATATTTCAAAAACTAATGGCCATACGCGGCTGAAACAAATGTCATTGGCTTCAGAATTCCAAACTCCTATCACTGTGCCAACCCTCATTAAGGTGGGGTCACACAAATTTTTAATAATTATAAATTTGACAGTGAAGTAGTCAGAGAAATCGTACGGCAAGGGGTTAATTGAAGTATCGAGGCGCGAGATAGAAAGAACCCAAGTGAACGTGAATTCGTCTAATACACATCGTTGAATTAAGTCGTTGGCTCAGGCAATAAACGACCAGCCTTAACTCCCTTGGAACTTGAAAACACGATGCTATACTACCGCGTGCGGCTGTGTTCGATAAAAGAAAGTGACGAGAAAGTATATGAAACCGGTGCCCAACCTCGGAACCGGAATCCCTTCTCGTCGGCCGGCCGATTACGGAATATCAATCGACGGATGACCAAACGAAAAAAACACCGTCCAAGCATGGTCTCGCGACTTCTACTGTATTCACGCTCACTACAGCAAATTCAGACGATACGATTCTTCGACTGATTTGGTAATTTCGCCGGGGATAAAAATTAGAAGCATGTGTGAGAATAAAAATTTTAAAGAAGTAGGTGGAAAGAAATCTTTATTTATTATTGTATTTCAGGCTTTTAGTCCGTTACAAGTAGGCAGTTGTATTCTTATATGTATATAGCTTTGGTATCTTGTAGGCACTTTCTTATTTAATCTTATATATAAAAGTATACTTTCTTATTGTATTCATTTAGGACTAGACTGCGGATTTTTATGCAAAATGACATTTTTTAAAGTAATTTTTTAAGACAACAGCAAAGATAGGAATTTATTTTTTCTGTTAAATATCTTATTGGGTTTATTATAAGACTGGCGGATATTTATTTATTTATAGCATCTTTTAATTTGAGAAATGCAATAAAAAAAGGTTTTATTAGAGTTTAATACTATTATGCGTTACTATTAACGCAGTAAAGCCTCTAGCAGAGAATTCAAAATTCTGATTCATTTTCATTTTTAGATATTAGTGTCTTAAAATTGTGAATTTGCTTAAACTTCCGTAGTCTATTTATTATCGAGTCTGCAAAATTACCGAATCGGGCGAAAAACTGTATCGTCTAGACTGACTGTCAGAGACCTCCGCCAACTTTTGATTAATGTCACGGAATCCACGTAACGGGTTACGTCGGAGATCGTCGATTAGCTGATTCACAGGATCGTCGTGTGCGGGTCAGATTTCGCAAGATGTCGAGATACACGAGAAAGTGATTAACCATCGAGCATATATCGGTGGGAAGTATCAAAATTATTTCATTTAATGATTCGATGTATCGATGTCATCGAAGATAGTCTCGAGGGAATTTACGGTGATTTATCCGTTGTATCGCTGAAGATTCGTGATATTGGACGAAAAGAGGACAAAATCTGATTCGATCTGTCTCTATAAATACTCAAAATGAACAAATAAAATTATTAAAGATAACATTGTAATTTGCTCCCTTCTCCCCTATAGGAGAAAAATAATATGAAATTTATCTTAGGATAAATTTTAAGATAATAATCTGGCTGTGCCCATGGGTGCTTATTGTTTCGATCCCATCGTAGGAAAAATTAAATTCGATTAAATTCTAATTAAAGTCGACTCCGTGGGCTTCTGGTGGTTCGCGACAAAGAGACAAAAGGGATTATCAGCGACCTGTTTCAGTGACGCGACATACGACAAGCAAGTGGGAGAATGCAACAGGGGCCAATCGATGCGGTGTGCGTCGAAGAAAAGTAACAAGGGTCGTTCCTGGGTTGTTGGCCGCCCGGTTGTTACAACTAATATATATATAAAATAAAATATTCAGTTTAAAGAGAACCATTCATTTTTTTAAAAATCTTTGTTTCATTTTATGAAAATGAAAATTGTTTTATGAAAATAAAAAGTGAAAGAAAGATCCTTAAAAAATGAATGGTTTTATTTAAAATGCATATTTTATATCACATATAAGTACGAAAATAAGCGACCTTAAGGTTTTTAATATCACGACCTATAGCATGATGCTATTAAACAAGGATGCATGGACTTTGAAAAAACTCAAGGTCACCTTGAATCTAAAAAAAAAAGAGATAATGTAATCAAATTGTACCTTAAACGTCTATATAATTCATTAGAACGTATTTTAATACAACTAATAGGTAATGAGTTATTTTAGATAGTAGTCCTTATTAACTCACCGTGCATATAAGTGCACCAAAACCTTTTAAGTTCTCTCAGGAACTCTGAGGGTCTTAATTCGGCCTTGCCTACAGGCCTTAAAACTGTACGAAACTGTTACGATTTACCGTGCCGTCACATTTACGAATAAACTTGTTGTTCTGCTTGCAGTATCGTGGACACGCGTGTGGATGAGGGTAAATCATCTAAACGAGAGGGATGTCTGAAAGCGAGGGAGAGCACGTGGCTCGGTCGGTGGCACTGGAGCAAGCCTACGTACACGAGGTTTACGAGCAATGCGCCGAGAAGTCTGTCCAAAGTAGACACTGGCCACGGATTTATCAGTTTCTCGAGGAGCTAGAACCGGGAGCTCTCGTTTGCGACATTGGTAAGTCCTGATTTAATGCCTTTAACACTTCAGGCGTACTGCCCTTGTGTCCCTGGAAAATTTGCTTCGTGTCAGGACTATTCCACGATTTATCGGATAGCAAACGGGTTTGGGTCTATTTGGACCCGAGTTTTCCAAGGGCTTCATCCCCATCGGTCATTTTACAATAATTAATATAAAGTAGCAGCACTTCGTATTAGATTAGATTAACGTTTCCAATAGAAATAGATTCTAAAACAGAAGTTGCACAGGGGTCCAAATGGACCCAGGCAACGGTGCTTCCATGACCGCTAAAAACATCAGCCTTCCGTGAGTGAATTGAATAAGGGAGAATGTAAATCCGTTACACCCACGATGGTCAATAGTAGCTACTCTGGTGTTCAGTTCCCTAGGAAAAAAAATGGCGTAGGAGGAGAGTACCACTTGGTATCGGAAATTACAGAAATTTATATCAAATTAACATTCATTTTAACTTATGTGTCAGTACTTGTAATAAATTATGTAGTATAAAATTATTTAAATCGCACGACCCAAGTCACTGGTCCTCTACTTCTTCACTGTATCTGCGCGCACGTGTGGCTGACCGCTCAGCTGTTCGTTAACTGCTAATATCTCGAAAATGGAGCTTCAGATTACAAAACGGTAAAGGACTTTTTAATTTTTATTTGCACGAGGAACATCCATGTTGCGGATTATCTCATCTTTTTGGGACACTCTGTATAACACGTGCCTCCTCGCACGGTAGGTCCATTTAAGGGAGCGCGTGTCTATTTTATTCCTTCGTTTGCTCGCTTTTTCTTCGCGTCCCCCCCGGTCACTCGCGCTTTCACATGATTGACCTCCGCGCGGATGTATCGACGCGACTCCGTGCAAGATCGCGTTTACCGGTGTGCATACAGGGTGTCTCAGCTAACTTGATGAGCTCGAATAATAACTTTTTGTACCATAGATCGATAGAGTATCAAATTCTGAGTAAAAATGTGTGGACCTTCATACGTCCTAAACCTAATAGTTAACGAGATATTTATAAAATAATCACTGAAATGCCTTGAAATCTCTGAAATGCCTCCACCCACAAGAAAAGCACGTACTTTATAAGATGTGCCCCTTGATGCCATTTAAGTTCCACGCCTAAAAATTTTCATAAATCGTACTGTTAAGTCATTATTCGAGCTGATCAAGTTTGCCGAGACACCCTGTATGTGTCCCCCTGTCGTTCGTGCACCTGGATCCCACGTCGCGCGCGCGGTGATCCCGGTCGTTGAAATACCGTGGGATCCGTTCTCCGTGGATTACACAAACTCATCGACCGGCGCGAACTTTGATGCCGGCACCACTCTCCCCTTACCGACCGACTACTTTACTGTCGTTCCGTGGAGCGATTCGTAGTTGGTGCTGGACGAATCTATTCATTGTTAAAGAAGTATCATTTTATTATAAAAATTGAAATTTCCACGTTTAAAGAATTAAAAATGACGAAATACTTTTTTTTATCTTTTATTCGTTATTCGAAACTTTTTATCTAGATAATGAGTTTGCCCATCTCTGGTATCCACCGAAGGATTATACGATGTTTGGCAGTTGTTGATTCGCGTTCCATTTCGAAACGATGACGCAGACCAATGTTCAACTTACAAAATCCGATCTTTTTATGGAAGTGACACTTTCCAAGGACATATTTTTAATTTTGTTCCAGGTTAACCTCTTGAGGGATACTGACACGTATTATATACGTTCAGTTTTTCTTTCATGTAAGCATCGTTCCGAAACTGTAATTAAATATTCACTAGGGAATTCGTTAACAAAAAGGATACTCTACCAATTGATTGTAGTGATTGTTTATAAATATATTTTAATTAAATACAGTCGAGGAATTAAAAGAAACATTCATTTTGGTGTTAATAAATTCGTCCCTTAGGAAGTTAAACACTTTGGTTCCGCATGATAGCGCCCTCATTGATGTTTGGTAGAAACCTTACAACTCCGATGATTCTGTCAGCAGATCCTTCGCGATTTCCATTGAGAGCTCACAAAATTATTGTAATGCAACATACAATAAAATACATTAATCTGCAAACATTGAAATTTATTCTAAGTAAAATTAAATATCATTTGATCCTAATGCTTCGTTATATTTTAACCAACTTTGATTCGATTTATTTCAACATTTAGTACAATTTTTTATTATTCCAAAACGAAAACAGTAAAGAATATTTCATTCAATTATTTTTTTACATAGACGGAAAACTTAGATCGGGGCCTTCTTTGAAAGTGGGGACCGGAACAATAGTGCCCCTTCAATCTGGCGCTGAATGTTCCATGATGTTAGTGAAAAATGCAGTCAGTTTTCCTTCAATAAGGAACCGAACCTTCTTAAGTCTATGACATAAGGGTAATTTCCATCGTTACCTGCAATCTTTTCCCACTTGTTTACCATAAGAAATCCATTGTCGAGCGATCCCTGCGTGGGCTTCTTCCCAGAGGTTGTAAACGCGTCACTTTTGCTTTTCCATTGAACGGATAGTTTTCACAACCTGTTCATAGCGAAACTATGTCGATAAAATGTGTATTAACGCGCGAGAGTCTTTGCTTCGTCTTGTGACTTAATAAGAAACATGCTGGGAGAAGCTGCTTTCTATTTAATTCCTAATCCTTCAATTTGTGGTCCAGATGGAGTCTTTAGTCTATATAGTAATGGTAAAGAGTATTGTTTGAAGGCTGATTGTGACAAATAAATGACCATTTCAATGGGATGACAGTACTGTTCGTGTTATAATTATAAAATATGTAGATTACTTTCAATTGTTTTTTTTTATAAAATGATGGTATTTTTATCAATCTCTACAAACTATGTATTGTGTATGCTACTATAAGTTTATAGATATGAGTAGTGATGGCCAACTTATACAAAATTAAATAATACAAATTCTTGGGACATGATCTAATCATGCAGGGAATTATCTTAAATTAGTTGGCGTGTTAAATCTTTTCTACCGACCATCTTATAGTATTTATCATGCACCATGGATTTGGAATTGTTATAGCTATTCGTGGTGGACCACACTTACCATCAAAGGATATTCCATTAATCCTCTCGTGTCAATTAATTCTCTGTCCATTTACCAGTGCATCTAACCATCAGTTCCAGTGGCTAGATCCTCTGTCCTAGTAACACTCGTACTAAGCCAAGCAAGTTCCAGACCATCCATTTGATCCTATAAATAGGCCCTTTGTTTTATTCGAACCTATTGTAATTTATCGAGGCAAGTTTTCTGATCCCCTGTACAAGCTTCTCAGATGGCAAACTGACCAAATTTATTTAGTAAAAAATTTTAACTTGTAGACAACAAACCAATATCAATTATATCGTACATTCATGATTTCAAAAATATACTATACTTTTCATGAAAATAAATTTGCAAATTTGTATTCGTATTGAACTTGATCTACTTAACTATCTAATAGATTAAAGTACGTGAAATACCTACTTTCGACGAGACGTCGTCTTATCTAATTTATTCGATGAGAATTATCCGACGAATAGAAGATACTTTTTTTATTCAAATCATTTTATTCGTAGCGTCAAATAAAATTTTCTTCTCTTATCTGTTAATATATATATTCAAGTAATTCGACAATTTTCGAGCTAAAAATTCATTTTCAAGTACATCGAAGTCTACGAGCGCTCGAATATTCGAGCCATTTGAGTTTTTCAAGTAACTCGCATTTTTTTCAAACATTTCGTCGATTTCATGTTACTCGAAAAATTCAAACTTGTAAATTACGAGTGTACTCGCACACCACTAGGCTCTGATATTTCGGTGTTCGGTTTCGGGATTCATTGTCTCACGCTTAACCTCTTGTTTGTTCAGGCTGCGGCAACGGGAAGTACCTCAGCGTTAATCACAGCATCTTTAAGGTGGGAGTGGACCGGTGCAAGCGTTTCACGGATATCGCGCGTGAGAAGGAGAATGAGGTGAATATATATACATACATACATACATCATTTCGCAAAGAAAATACAAATCTCGTGCGTGTGTCGTTGGCCGAGCGCAGGAAACCGACTCTTACATCCGTATCCTGTCCTATCGGACTAATCGTAATTACCGGAGCTTAATTGTATCCGGAGTGTTCCCACTGGGAAACGTTGTTTTTTTGTTTTTCTTTTTTCGTCCCGATCAGCGCACTGCCATGGATTGTCTATAAATAAACGAACGAAATCAGAAGGGAAACAGCTTCATCTGAACATTACTATTACCCGAAGTATCAATTAAAAACTAATTGTTGGTGACCGTGAACGTTAACACTGTAATTAGAAATTCTTTTATACTTACTGACAGCCGTATGTATAATATATCATCACAAGTATTATTATTTACTGGTGGAATTCTTACCTACTGGTGATACCTGTTATTGTGGACGGATGATGTCGATAGATCTGTTAGGAGCCAGATGATTCTACCATACTGCAACACCATATACGTATCATCTAAACCATGTAAAATATAATGTTAAAATATGATATAGGTATTAGTAGACTACGGAAGTTTATGCAAACTAAAATTTTTAAATATTAATATTAAGTTTTTAACCAACATTAGTAAAATATATCAGGGGAAATAAAATCTGAGAATCCTGTTCTGTCTGTTTCAGGTACTGGTCTGCGACAACTTGGCCCTGCCGTTTCGCGATGAGAGCTTCGACGCAGTTCTCTCGATCGCGGTGGTGCACCATTTCGCCACAACGGAGAGGCGAGTCCACGCGTTGAAGGAACTTGCGCGGGTGCTCCGAATCGGCGGTCGATTAGTCATATCCGTATGGGCTATGGAACAAAGACATAGGAAGGTAACCAGAGCACCGATTAATCGTAACGTGTATCTGTACTCTATAATGAAAGGCTCACGTGTATGGGGTGATAACAGATCAATGCTAGGATCTATATCTGGACCCTAGATTCAGAGTATATTAAGTCCACCTTCTTTTTGGTGGACTTCGAGGGTTGGTTTCACCCCTTACAGTTGCGTCTCAGCCGATAAAAATTCCTTATCCCTTATTTTTGACTGCTTAACAGACATACGAAGTTTCATCAAAATCGGAGGCGAACACTTACATGCCTCCCCTTGTCAGTTGTATTTACTTCCACAAAACAGTCCGGCTCTAAGGTCCAGATACATGTACACAATACCAATAGACAAATACTAAAACAATTTTGTTTTCATCTGATTTTGTATTATGCAGGTAGATAAGAATCCATAACAGATTTCATTTTATACCGTTCTAAGTAATATCGATCGATCGGATCGTAAATAGAGATATACACGTTTGATTCAACAAAATCTGTTGGTAAGTGCAAAGATACCTCTAGCAATCTGATCGTTGAATTGATGGTCGCTGTTCGAATCGGCTTAAAAATGTCGTCACATCCGATACGATTGAATTGAAACGGTATTCGGAGCAGAGCCTATGAAATACACCCACGTGAGCGTGACGGTGAATCGATAGAATTGTTCCGATGCACAGAGCCAAGGTAAACCGTTCGAATGCATCGACGGTATTATTTCTGGTTCTTTTTTTTCAGGATTTGCTACTTCACATGCTTGACGACACGTGGAGATAAATTGTTTCAATTGACACGGAGCGTACTTTTGTTGTCCTTTGAATCGCGTATTCTCTATTTTTCTCCCTTTTCCACTGTCGGAAATTTTTTTTTTTCAAAAACAGATTCCAAAGTTATCAAATAAAGTGTTAAGTTTACAATTTTCATTTTTGTTTAAATATACCTGTTTTAAAAAATTATACTTTCGATATTATGCTTTTACTAAAGTGCTGTAGGTAATATATACATTATCTAGTAAGTGTGTACATTTACTAAACTTCACGCTTTTACTGTCACATACATACCACTGTGTTGGTCATATAATCTTCCAGATAGAAAAATACCACTGACAACCTCCATTTGCCTGAGCTAATTATATCTTCTCGAAATGATGTAACCGTTCAAATCTTAAAATATTTTGTTTTTTCTTTTTGTTTGTAGTTCCAGTCTCAAGACGTCTTGGTGCCGTGGCCTAAAGCCTACTGCGCGAATTCGACGGGCAGATCGAAATACTCGGGCACGTTGAATGTGAACGACATACACTGCGCTCAAAACGCTCAAAAGTAACTATCTATTAATTCCAGTATTTTATTTCTGTCCAGAGAACGTACGACTAGCGAAACTCATACCGTTTAATTTGGGGACACCTTGCATATCAACATTAAGATTTACATCGAGCCGGCAATACTTTTTCATCTAGCCTAGTATTGAAACAAAAAGAGGATAATTAAAAGATAAAAATATCTATAACTTCTCATAACCATTATCTCCTTCCTTTGGATTGATATTCGACAAATTCGGTACCGTGACCGGGTTTAGTGACTCTTATTTCAAAGTATTTGCAAATTTAACTGTTTATCTCGTCGTTATATGAATTTCTTATCGCTGTGTCAATTTAACACTTGACAAGTCTTATCCGCCTAAACGGGAAAAGCATTTTTTTTTGTTATTTATTATTTATTAAACGGGCAATAAGCCCTTTGGTATGCATGTACAAACAAGATATAAGTAACAAAATTATAAGTCAGGATTGAAACAAAATCAAGAAGAAGGAAGACAAGGGTAGTTACCTAGATAGTATAGAGATTAAATGACACTACAGCATTGCCAGAAGCGCACCATAAACGTGTTGTCGATCGGTCGATTCCGCGAATTTACCGAATCAACCGAAGTTCCAGCATTACCAAAAATAGCCGAGCGGTAAAAGCTTAGAATTAGCCTACTGGTAAAATGTCCCTGAGACCGGTCTCGTATTACCGCACGAAATTGCGTTTCGCTACCCTCTTTGTCCTTGTTCCTTAGCGAAAGCAATTCTGTGTAGGGAGGGAGGAGGGCCAGAGCGAGCACAATAATTATAGCTAATGGCGTTGTTCACTTGCTTTTCAGGAACAGCCAACGAAAATGCAAGAGCAAAGGCTATTGGATCGACCCAATATTCAGTCCATCACCGTCGACAAGCAGTCTCTCCAGCCCGAACGAGACCTGCTACAGCTTTTTCCGTCGCGCGTTGCAGGTAACGCCCCGTTGCGAGGTTTCCTTGAAACGTTGTCACGTGCTGCACATAGGTTGCAGGAGTGGGGGAGGCGCACAGTCGCGTGCACACCATGCCTGAAATTACATCTTTCCTTTTTTTTGCTCTCTCTCTCTCTCTCTCTCTCTCTCTCTCTCTCTCTCTCTCTCTATCTCTTCCCTTCTTTTATCCTTAACTGGTCGTGTATACCGGCGACATGATAACCATCCCGCAATACGTAACCAAATTGTCCGGGGAAGCGTTATCGATTTTGCGCGCGACCGTAACAATGTTCGCGCCAAAAAGTAGGGTAACAGCTTGCGGAATGCGGCCTGGACGCCAGTCATGCGATGGGGGAGAGATTACATCCGTCCCCCTTGGACAATTTTTTTTGGAGATCCTTGGTCAGAGGGAAACTAGGAACGCTCGAATGGAGTCGGACACGAGATCGCCGATGGCGATATCCGTTTGACAGTAGCCGGAAAGTTTATCGTGTACAGATATTTTTGCCCCGCTAGAAGCATTAGGTGGCGAGACAGTCAGCCACAAGATACACATAAATGTGTTAAAAATATTAGTCTGAGGCATGGGCGTCCCTCCCCCTGGACTAAAAAAAGTGGCTTGTGCCCCACCCTACAAGAAAAAAATTAAATTTTGCCCCCGTTCATCCACGTCTGCGTGTTCTATTTGAAATCTGATCCAAAGTGATATTAAATCTGATAATTTCCAGAAACTAGCCGGTGGTAGACGTGGATCCGGAAGTCGGCCTTGGTTCCTTGAAAGTTGGCAGAACGGCGGTGGAAAAAATCGAAAGGACTACGAGCACGACGAGCCGCCAGATGTCGACGAGCTGCCTATCGAGTTGCGTCGCGTGGAGGACGTGAACGTGACCTTGACCAAACAGCCGGATTCGTTGAGCATAAAGTCGAAGAGCCTCGGGGATATTTTGGAGATCCAACGATTGGATTTGGTCAGATCCAGGTCCAGCATCCCCGGTCTGTCTTCGATGTTAACGTCTGAATTGAATTTGGACGGCGAGTCCAGGACATCTTCGTCGTTGAGCGGTTCGAAGCCTCGGCTGATCAAGCAGAAGACTCACCTCGAGGACGTCGGTTTGGAAAATCCTGATAACACTGCCATTCGTGACCTAAACAAGGACGTTCCAGACTTGCAGGTAAGGATGTTATTGAAAGAAAAAAGAAGATGTTCCTTTCTTCGGCTTGTTCGTGTATTGGATGTCCCTATTTTGGTTTTCTTCTTAATTCAGGTAAAACCCAGTCACTCTTCGAAGCGAGGAAGTATCATGAAGCAAAGCTCGATGAACGAGGAGCTGATGTCCGCGGAGCGACTAGAAGAGAAAGAACGTGTACGCCGGAACATAATGAAACAAGCTTCTCTGAACGAGGACTTGATGTACAAAGGAAACACGTTCGAAGCTCTTCGGGAGTCTCTCTATTCGGGCAACGCGACAAGACGATTTCAGCTCCTTAAAAGTGGCCTTACGAACAAGATCAAGCAGTCGACAAACATCGAGGTATCAGGGATATCAATCAAGAATGGTTTCGTGAAGATCCTGCAAGGCTGGAAGTCGAGCGACAGTGAGACGACTTCGGCGTCCGGTGCACAGGACGAATCCAGAACGAAAGCCAACGATAAAATTCAATCGGTTACTGCGAAGAAAGAAGTGGAAGGGGTTGAAAGACGTCTGTCTAGAGAAGATGGCTCAGACTCGTCTAAGGACAGCAGTCTGCAGAGCGACACGAGCGTCGACTCCGAAGACAGTTTCGCGTCCGTGATCTTCGTGCCAAAGCAGGACTTTCCACCTATGGCCGACATTTTACCACCTTCCACTTGCCATCAGCTGGGCAGCACTTCAGCACCCCCTTCACCTCGTGTGAAACATCCACCAGATGTCTCCACCGCCAGACTCAAGCTCATTTCCATATCCCCCCTGATCAAACAATTCCCAGCCACAAGCAAATCTCTACCACCGCCTAGTCCACCTGGTTTGTCGCCTAGAACCTTGAATCCAGTGTTCAACAGGCGCTTCTTCGGTTCCGCTCACACACAGCAACCCGTACGTGGCGAAGGTACACTTGGTCCAAAGACATCGGACGTCTTCAGCAACAGGTATCAGCCAGCAAACCCGGATCCGCAAGCTACCAAACGGAACAGCGAGGTCGAAGTCCGCAGGAACAGCTTTTTCGATAGCAAGAAGCCTTCTTTGCAGGCCATACGCGCGTACAGGTCCATGTCTGAGACTGTGGACGTGGAGGAACCAAAGACAGTAGAAGACACCGCTCCGTTGCTACCGACCACCGAGGAGAGCAGTGAAATATTGTCAAAAGACAAGGGTCTCGAGCCTAGCAAAGAAGACGATAGCCGTAAGGCTAGGTTGAATCAGATAAAAGAATTGTTAAAACAGAAACCAGGTTTCGCGACTAGGACGAAGCCATCGTTTCCATTGGTTAGGCGAGCTTCGACCACTGCTAGCGGTCGATTCGAAGCTGTTACCAGGGTTTTGCCTCGGTTACTATCGTTGGAATTATTCAATCCTGAAACGGATGATCTTGATAGCGATTCTAGTGGAGTGTCGTCACCCGAGTCCGTAGGTTCGGTGATCAGTGTGATCTCGGATGAAAGGTACGCGAAGAAGGACAACACCAAATCCGAAGGCACGGAGTCTGAAGTCCTGGATAGTTCAGCAGAGAATGTTTCTGATCCCAGCGACGCTACTAACGACGAATCGTCCGGATACGTCGCAGACTCGAAAGAAGAGGAAGCTAAAACGGCAACGGACTCGTCGCAGACATCAAAGCTCTTCAAGGCAGCGGCCAACGTGGCCAGCTCTCTGGAGGACGCCATGGAGACCGTGATACAGAAAACGTACAATCGAGTGAATTCTCAGACACAAGGGGACACGGAAACGCCTGTCAACGATGAGAACAAAACGAGAAACAAGTCCACCGTGAGCGAGAACTATCAGCTACCGGAAGTGGAGGACACCTGGAGTGAGGAATGTAGGAGGCACTTGATAGACTTCACAGAGAGGCTCAGTGGGAATCTAATGCAACCTGACCAGTGTCGCCAGAGATCCGAGGTCGAAGGGAATAAAGTTGGTAGCCACCTGGCCGTGGACAAAAGTGGAGCTAAGGGTAATCAAGAATCTATAGTGTCCTCCGAGGTCATCCCGAAACCCACCATGTCTTGTAAATACAACGACCTGTCTAACACTATCGCCTGGCTGAGTAATTCGAACAATGGTTTTCTCGAGAACACCGAGAAGGTGGTGGCTCATACCACCGGATCCGAGGACAAGATGCATCGGAGCACGTCCGATGACATCATGGATTTTGTAATGGTGTCCAACACCGGAGAGTTCATCAACGAGAAGGAGAGCTTAGAGAAGAATCGTTCGAAGCCTTACGTAAGGTCAGCGAACTCCATGGAGTCTAGTGACATAGGCGAGTCTATCGACAATACCATTAGCCTGAGCGACGGAAGCCATGCGGATTCGACCGGAAGACTTTGCAGTAGTATGATCTCCTTGCTGTCGAACAATACGGAATACCCGAAATCGTATGCTGAGAAACGGAGACTCCAGATACAGAGACGATCGGCCTCCGAAGAGACGCCACCTAGGTACCCTGATAACAGTAAACGCAGCACCGATTGCTTGGTCACCAGCACAGGGAGTAACGCCACTCTCAGTGCCTCATCGTCACAGGAATCCTTGCCGTCTGATCGGGGCGGTGGCGCGATCACTTACCATCAGTACTATCACGTGTTCAGGGAGGGTGAGCTGGACCAATTGATTAACAAATACGTGGAGAACTTGCATATTATCTCGTCTTATTACGACCACGCGAGCTGGTGCATCGTCGCGGAGAAGGTGCAGGTCTGGACTATATGACTCGAGGCCCATGCTCGAGCCGCGTATTCAAGTCTCCACGCTGAGCGGATCACTTATCGGGGTTGTTAATCAGCTTGCGAAGCCTCGGAGCTTTTACTTTCGGTTTACATGTGATACTGGTCGATTTCTTTGGGGTTAGAATGTGCATAATGGATACGTTTCTATGAATGTGGTAAGTTTAGAGAGACTTTCCTTCTGTTGAGGTACGTTTGAGCGTGTTTTGGTGTGTTAGTTAGGCTACATCCAGTGATAGCATTGACTCTGAGCTACGGAGTTTCTATTTTAATTTGACCCGGGGGGATTTGATGGAGTACAATTGGTTCATCAATGCAGACTTATTAGTGTCCTACGGCTGTTCTATTTAAATTAACAAATGTTATCAACTGATTGAATTCAACACTCCTGAGGTTTTTTTTCTGTGGTTATTGACAGCTATTTCTGCAATAAGGTATATCAAATTGTGCAGCGTAAAGAATCCCGTCAGATCTGTACCATCTAGGCAAGTTCTAAAGTTTCTTCACGTTAGAACTTTTAGTTCTTATCAAACATTCCATAGTCACCTGTGCATTCGTAATAGTTGCTCCAAATCTAGACTTAAAACTTCTAGACATAAGTAAATCGGCCATCTTTAAGATGCTCTCCACGAAATGCCACATGAACCAAATATAGCTACGTTTCGTCACACGCGTATCCAAAAAATCATTAGCATTCATACCTATGACGAACGTATGTCGATATAAATTTTGCTGAGTTACATACGGAAGTATACAGTATATCATTCGCTATATACCAAAAAAAGGGGGAACGAGGTGGGGGAGACGGTGAATGTGCTACGAAAGGGAAATCGGATGCCAGCAAGGTTAGGTAAATGACAAAAGGGACGACGTGTAAATATGTAATATAAAATCGTTTCCGACGTAAGCGCACAGATCGGTAAACAAAGTTTATTCATCAGTAAGCGACACTAGTAGAATAGCAATTTGTATCGTTCGTCTAAGCGCTTGACCAAATGATGTTTTTCATTTAACCCGTTCGTTTGTTCGTCTTTGATTCCTCCCGTTGGAAGTACGTTTCTAGTCTCGAACCGTGATATCATGTAGCCTTAGTTTAAGCGTTAGGTCCATGGTTCCTAATCTTTTTCATCGCTGAACACCTGTTATCAATGATCGAACATGTTCAAACGAAGATATATCCATAAAGTGTATGTATACATATTGTATATCGAGTACGATTCGAGTCGTGTTTTGCTCATTTTCTCCTTCAGTCGTCGCGAAGTTAACGTCTCTTGGGCGTTCGCTCGATTAGTCTATGTCGGGCGATCGACGTTAGATACGTACCAAACGCGTTCCGAGAATTTCCGCACAGGACATACTAAGCGTTTAGATAATAAGTATCGAAGGGGTTACGAATCGTTTCGGTGGATCGTTCCGCGTGACGAAAGCGAGTGTTTCTAAGTGACCGTTTAGTTTCACCTTGCATCGATGACTCGAGGCTAGTTTCTTTCTAGAAGCAAACTCGACTTCCACTAGGAGAAAAAGTGACGTAGAAGAAGGGCCTTCTACCACTCGGTAAATTTATTTCAAGTACGGAAATAAATGTTAAATCGAATGTTAATTTCATATAAATTTCAGTAATTCCCTATACCAAGTGATAGGAGGCCCTTCCCCTACGTCACTTCTTCCCCTAGTGAAAGCCGAGTTTGCTTGTGGGTGTACAATAAACGATCTCGTTTTCTTGTAGGGCGCATCGTCTTCGAATTCTTAACGACACGCATGACAGCAACGGGAATATTCTTTTTCCCGTGCTATGTAAATAATGATTCGCTCTCGTTCAGCAAAACCATAGTTAACTTCCAGGTGTCATGATGCTTCGGTAGCGTTCATTCAGCCAGAGAACTCTGCAGGAAAATCGAGGACTTTCAATGCAAATGCAGAAAATATGCGACGTTCCGGAAACAGCGAATTGTTATTGCGCTATTACTATATAAGAAGGTTCGAGAAAACGAGTACTCTAATTAAAATATTCAGAGGATCTAGTAATATTCGGGAAAATACCGTATGTATACGAGCAGAACCTTCAATAAAAATAGCGTAGTGTTGGATACAAAATGTACCGACACAAGATGATTCTACGTGAAAAACTGAATCGAGCGGGTAGAATAATATTTTTTCGTGCAAAGCTTCGTTTACGTGAAAACAAGAACCGAAAGTTCAGGATGTGGGCGGGATAACACGTAGGGGGCGGAGCGAATGAACAGTCAAACGGTACTCTTGCTGCAGCTAACTTCTCTGTTCACTCTGCACATAAAGATCCTCTGATTATTTCGAACAGTACATTTGATTCGTTGATACAAAATGTGTAACCACAGCAAATTTAAGAACAGACCTGCTCTATCAGAGTTCGAAAGATGCTCCAAGGACGGAGTGAGACTCAAGGTTAGAGTTCGATACCAGTGCAGTAGAAGGATCACAATTCACACTGTTGCTATAGAGGGCAATGTTATCAGAGTTCTCGAACTCCCAGGAATTAATGAAGGAAATTCGAACCCTAATGCCCAAAGGACCAACGTAGAGTTATGTCCCTCGTTTTTATTGGCATTGTAGCGAGTATGCTGATCACGGTACGAAAAACGTACACGAACGTAAGGGTCGTCAAGTGTTCGGAATGTGTAATACCGCAATAACTTACCAAATCGTTCGACGAGAGTGTACCACAGACACCAGAACAAGGTTAACCCTTTATTCGGAATCTTACCATTTGAAAAATCGAATGAAACTCCTTGATTTTAAGGAATCCGTTGGATAAGATTTCGTGCCAGGAACATAATTTCCGCGATTTTCGTTTGGTGAAAATTGTTGGCCATTCGTCTCGTGGGTGTTGTGCAGTGAACAATGATAAAGAATGAAATAAAGGGTTAAAAGAAAGAACTGTAACACTGTACGCATTAAACGGTACTGATTGCGAAGAAACTTAGAAGGTGCAGAAATAATACATGTACATATGTATATAAGGGTATCCCAAAAAGATGAGACAATCCACAACATGGATATTCCTCATGCAAATAGAAATCGAAAAGTCCTTTACTGTTTTCTAATCTGAAGCTCCATTTCCGAGATATTAGCAGTTAAACGAACTCCAATCAGCTGAGCGGTTTGCTACATGTGCTTCTTGACTGCGTCTGCGCGTACGTGTAGCCCACTGCTCAGCTGATTGGACTTTGTTTAACTGCTAATATCTCGGAAATGAAGCTTCAGATTAGAAAACCATGAAGAACTTTTCGATTTGTATTTGCATGAGGAATATGCACGTTGCAGATTGTCCGATATTTTTGGGATACCCTGTATATACATATGATAGTAGTTCACGAAGTTATTGACTGAAATGTCAAACCAATTTACAAAAACGTTTACGTAGATCATAGTAAGAAACGATCGCGCACGTACGACATGAATTAATAACTCTCCAAAATAACATTTAATGGATCCAGTGATATTATATATCATATGTTATAAACGAGCGTACTTTGCTACACTTTTTTTGTAAATATCTTACTGAGAATACAGAAACAAATATGTATATATACATATGCGTGTATACATACAAATATCGGTAATCTGTCGCGGTTCTGTGAACGTTCAAACGGATTGTTTCTACCTTCAAATAATTGTGTATTCATTACAATTAGTCGAATTGTGTTCAGTTCAGCTGAGTTGAATCGGAACGAATCAGGTTATAATCCTGTTCATTTAAATTCCGTCAATTTGGCTTAGTCAAGCCGAGTTGATTCTACCTGAGTTTGTTGTATCTTAATTAAATCAACCGAGTTGAACGCAATTCAATAAGTACTTCTTATTTCAACAAATTTACTATAGTCTAATCGGCTACATTAACTCGGTTCTGCAAATTTAGTTGGAAAAGAGATTCTTACCGCTTGGATAAGAATGAGTTTTGTTCTGGAGGACAGCAACGTTTAAGCGTAGAATTGTCATTATCGTAACCGCAGAGAAAACGAACGAATGCACAATCAATACCACCTGACAATGAGTTTTACACGATACGTAACTCGAATCTAGAGCCTAATAATTTATTGCTCATCTGTATATTTACGAACGTCCACGATCAATGCTGACTTTCGAACAGTCCTCTGACGCGTTCTTTTTTGTTCTTCTTGATCGATATGGTAACTTACTCGCAAGATTTCTAATATGTAATATATACGATTGTAAGGTGAACTCATAGTTCTTGAAAACGCGAAAATAGGGGCACAAAAGCGAAATACGTACGCAAAGATCACTGTCGGAAAGTTATTATAATAATTATCATAGATCTGGTATGCGCGAATTCTAACTTCACTCCAATTACATATCGCAAAGATTCAATAGTACACGTTTCTACGACTCAGTTACTCGGTTGACCGTTATAATGTACTTAACCGTATAGTCTTCCTCAGATTATGTTTACTTAAACATGACGAACAGTCTTGTTTTAAGTTAATTATTGAATAATTCACTCTCATTGAAGGAGATTGATTTAACTCGATTAATATGTATTCGCGCATGCCTACTGTAGATAAACTGAATTAAGGTTCTTTATTCGTACTCAACTCCACAGCAAATCGTGGAACGAACAAAAAAGAATTCGAAGAAAGCTGTCGAATCTTAAACGCTGTATCTAGCGAAGGCTGTGTGTTCGACATAGCTTACATGTGTATAATTTGTTACACGTACGTGCATGTATATCACGTGTATGCATGGTACACGAGGAACGTACACGTAAGGACACACACACATATGGAAGCGTACATCAATGCACAGATACACACCGTGTATAAGGTCTAATAATCCCATACTTATATAGCGAGTACTTAAGAAGAAAAACAAGAATTGTCCTTCGCGCATATTTATTCCCCTTCCATCCAACGAGAAGCGTATAATTATCGCGATAATAACACGAGATTCAGTGTTGCGTACGACTTTCTATTATATCGTATAGCATACACGCGCACATCATCGTAGTGAGTGCGCCAAAGATTCGTTCTGAAAATTTTTCGCGGGAATATTCGAACAGATAAATTACTTTAGAGGAAAATTACATTTCAATTTGAGTTTAGCGTCACGCGATTATTTTTCGAGGTAATTGCAATTCAAGTTGAACTTTAATGAACAAACGATATGTATTTCGTAATGTTTCGTTTTGAGGTTAGCGCCGACTTGCCTTAAAGTTTTCAGAACGATTCCGCTAAATTGCGTAAAAGTTATCTTTGAAGAGAATGATTATCATTAAAATGGTGCTATTTTACGAATGATCAGTGATTTTGGGTACCACTGGAGAAACACAGTTGTAAACGTACTCAAAGCAGATTAATTCTTTCGTTCAGTCAGATTTTGTTCGACTGCACAATATCAGGGTAACGACAATTCGTGAATACGAACGATATATCGCTTGCGAGAATAGTTTTTCCCGGTAAAAAAAAAAGTTATCGACTGTTAATCAACAAGCACTTCAACTCGTAAAGTTCGTTTAACGATAAGAAATGCAGATCCATTTCCCGATATTATAAAATTGCAGATACTTTATTTTATGTAGTTTTAACCAGTACCGTCTATACTATTAATAACACTTACCTATGTCTAGTACGTTACAATACTTCGTGTGACTATCGAAGTGTCGAACACGCGCGAATTTTCAAACGCGTTTAATTCTAAGCGGACGCGAGAAGGGGGCGCTACAAGATATATCTCTTCGGTATAACGATTCTAGCTTAGGGTACGTTGCGCTTGACCGGTACCTCTGAGATGTTTAAAAGATATTGACAATATATATACATGTGATTGACAGAAGGTCCCATCACAGTTTTATAAACTACATCGTATTTCTATAGGATTTACCAATCGGGGGAACGAAGGAAGCACGGAAGAGCACGCGATTATAATTGCAGCGTATAATAATCGATTCAAGAAAACAGAAAAGAGACACGGTGAACCAGCACTTTTAATCGAATATTAAAATATGTTTGAATTTGCCTGTTGAAATCTAAATTTAGTCATACAATATTTGATTCTCAGTTCAAATTTGAAGTTGATTGTTGTTACCTTTGAAACGCTAATTTTAATTGTAAATTTTTAGTACTTTCTATATACATACGTATGATTGAAGAAGGATAGCGCTTTACTAAAATAATTTTCTCGTTTGCCAAATATTAATAAACGATTTACGACATGTCAGATAGTTTATTGGTTCGCGTGTACTCGGCATTTTCCTCGATTCTCCGCTTTAGTAATATCGTCGTATGAGTGACAACTTCTCAGTCTCTTTCGTTATTTTTTCTCCTTTCTTTCTCTCTATAATATCATATTCGCGGTCCAGTAACCCAGCAGAGATACGTTTATTGAAACTTTTCATAACGATACCGAATTATCAATTGAGTGCACTTCGATCAATTAATTAAAAGTTGTTCATGTTCATTTTGAACGTCTATTTAGGCCATGTTCGAAACCAGACCAGACTTCTATTTTATACCTGTATTTCACGATCAGCATATTAGAATGATTATCTACTGCGCATTATTATGTATATGTACATTTCGGTTAATAGATATAATATTTCATATTTCTCACGGAATTATTGCTTACTTTACCCTGTGGTGATTGAGCACTTTTTCTGTTTGCCCAATCAGGAAACGTCTGCTTTCAATTTTATTAAACATGTGAATAGTTTTTCTGTACTGTACAAATTAAAGGTAAGTTTCAAATCTTTAAAGTATCAAGGTAATGAAAACTACTTTTGAACAAATAACTGTGCTTTCGTTTTATTTGTTGAACCATTCAATTTTAAAGTGTTCTACTGTTTTCAACTGTATTTTTGTAACTGTTTATAATACATTTGTATATATGCTTTCACTTACTATATGCTTTTGAATCATTGCACTGTCTCATGTCTACACAGTCAACTTAATGACCTTGTTAACAGATATCAGTTATAACAGTTCATAAATATATTATTGTGAAATCGTATTATTAATTTTGGAAGCAAGCATTGTGTGAGAAACTAAAAACTGTTTCGGTAAACAAAAAACAGTAAACAAATTTAGTTTTTCGTTCGTTCCTCTATTCTCCATGCAGAGACCCGTATACTTCACTGCACTTTTTCTTTTATATAAAAGTTGTTAGAGTAGTGCATACACACTTTTACAATAAGTGTACAATATACGTACTAATAAAAAGCAAAACATATGTACATACATGTAAAGTATAAAGTTTCCAAAGTAAAATTATGTACATGTAATTATCAAAATACAGCAAGTATTTGTTACAATAGTATATTCCACAAGCACTTCAGTGTAAAACTTTTTTGTACAGAATCCCTTGTGCTGAAAAGTGTGCACAGGAATACTGAAATTCACTATATCTGCCTAAGTTATCAGTAAATTGTTTCATTTTGTTTTTCTTTAAACTTAACATTTTGTTAATAAATACTTCAGGCAATACGGGTGCCGTTCTGTGTGTATCAGCTCCGAAGGAATTGCTCAAAGCAACTTTATACGATTTGCATCACATTGCATCAACAAAGTAAAGCCGTAAGCGTATAAAATGAAATATGCTTATAGGAACATTCTTCATTTTTACATACTTTATACACCTGTCAACTATCAAACTGTATGAAATTTTATTCGCGTCGTAAATTTTCCAATCTGGCTTGCAAGTCAGCATCCGCATCTGCAAGGTTTCCGCCGTCATCGGTTCCTGCAGCAGCCGCAACCGGTTGCTTTGAACCAGCTACACTCAATGAACCCGATGCTTGTGGTAGACCGGATAATTGGTCTGTCACTTGTAGACCCAGTTCGTCCAGAACTTGTGATACAATAACATCGCTAAACAGAGAAAATAAAAATGTTAGAAATACTCAATAATACCAAACTTCCCAATTTTCGGAATACAATTATTTGGAGTAAAGCAATTGTCACCTCTCTTCTTCATCACCCTCATCCTCCATTGCATCATCTATCGCATCATTCATGATTTCTTCTTTCATATCCATTATCTCTGATTGCTTTTCAAACTCTTGCAATATTTTTTGAATTTGAGGAAGATTAAGTTGCCTGTAAACAGCAACAGTTATAGTAGCAATCGTATAAGCACAAAGTGCAATTTTTGTTTTCAAATATCAAAAAAATTATTACTTGTTCATACTCTGCATTGCCCTTGTAACACCCTTCATTGCCTGTGCCATAGTATTCTGTGAGCGCAATGTCTGTATCTTCAATGAAACTGCTTGAATGTTTGCTTTCATTAACATGAACTTCTTCACGTATCGTCTAGTCCTTACAAGATCTTTAGCCATAATTTTCACAGCATCCTATTAAATCATTAATGACAATTGTTGCACAACACCAACATTGATTTTATGAAATCAAATTGTATTACCATTTGTCCATCTTTGGCAAGTTTCTTTATATCCATGATAATCTTCTTCTCCTGCTGTTCCATTCTCATTCTTTCTCTGTCAAGATCTCTCATTGCCTTATTCAAAGCTCTCTGATTCTTCCTCAGCATTTCTTCAGGAGTAACTCGCTTTCCAAATAACCACTCCATGGTTGTAAATTATCACCAACGAATTTCTTTACTGAAATTAATAATATCTTAAGAATTTCTTGAATTTGTCTATTTCTATACTTTTTACAAAGTATAAGTATAAAAAGAAGTAGAATAGAAAACTTGGAATAAGTAAAATAGAATATAAGATGAAATGCATATATCAAAAAATGGTATGTACCTGAATTATAGAGTACACTATGTTGATAATTATTTCGAAAAAGTTCATTAAAATACCTTACTGTACGTCCAAATTGACTTTCATTAGGTTATGATCCTAATATCATAAATACAACCAGATTATTATTCGGAGATAATACGATGAATCACAAGTTCAAAATAATTAAAAATATTGTCAAGTGTAATAGTATACTCAACCAGTTCTGACATTTCCAAGCTTTCTCAAAACAAGACGAATGACGTATACCAACCTATTCTAAACTGCTCCTAATTTGTAATAGTGTTTACACGGTTTACGCCTAAAAAAGACAACAAAATCCAATTATGAATAGGTGAGTAAACATCCTACAGTTAAGGTGCAATCCGTCGTTTACATACATACACAGTTAACTTATGGAACTTGTATCCACTTGTATCACAGGTTCTGAAGTACCGATCGTGCAAAACATCTGAGATTTTCCGTTGCCCTCTATGTTCTGAGAACAGTAAATTCAAGAACAGTAACAATTGTTTGAATCCGGCAGAGGACTACTGCAAATTATTACACACGTCTATCGTATGCCATCGGTAATCAAAATTTCGGCGACAAACTTATAAAACCTTTATGAAGCTTTGAAGACGGTACGGAAGATTTGCAAGTTACAGGAGAGGGAATTATTTGCGGCATATAAGTTACATTATTTTATAAGCCTGAATAATATCTAAGCCTACTTTTTCTGAATTTATACAAATATCATCACAAGCATATTGTAAAATCATATGGATAAGTAGGATTTAAGTAAAATAAGTATCTTAGGGTACTTTTATTGAATCTATACAAATATTATTATAAATATATTGTAAAATCATGTATGTAAGTAGT